GGTGGAATTACAGGGTGTGTGGGTGATGATATGATGGTGGAATTACAGGGTGTGTGGTTGTTGATATGATGGTGGAATTACAGGGTGTGTGCGTGATGATATGACGGTGTAATTACAGGGTGTGTGGGTGATGAGATGATGGTGGAATTACAGGGTGTGTGGGTGATGATATGACGATGTAATTACAGGGTGTGTGGGTGTTGAGAGCATAGAGGACATACAGTGTGTGTTCTCACAAATTTGTTCCTACAGGATCAAGACTTTGTTCTTCGACCGACTTTGTCAGTTCTTCAATGTAATTTATACGTCTCTATCATGTCTCTCTATATCCTCTCTCTTTTCTTAAACTAAGACTAGGGTTAATTAGGGCTCTCGATTAAAGTACCTAGTGAAGCTGCAAGCAAGAGCTGTTATCCTACTTCAGCTCAGTTGAAACTTGCTCCTAGAGACTCATTTATTTAATGTTTATTTTATGCATCATTAGGATTAAACGTTACCTCTAACAATCATATAAGAAGCATGATGAGCCAGTAGCCAACTGTGTGGCAGAGCCTTCATATCATCAGTTGACCTGATCTCCCGTGTATCAACTTGTTGAGCAAACAAGTTTCAGATGTCAGTCAGTCTAGGAATGAATGATCTCTGATGGGGGCGTTAATAAATATGGCAGTTACTGCCCCTCTCTCTCTCTCTCTCTCTCTCTCTCTCTCTCTCTCTCTCTCTCTCTCTCTCTCTCTCTCTCTCTCTCTCTCTCTCTCTCTCTCTCTCTCTCGTCAGATCTAAGTCCTTCAGTCTTCATACTCCATCCATCGCAATTCTGGAGTGAGCCTCGTTGCAACCTCTGAACATTTTCGGGTTTCCTTGTATGTGTTTTTAAATGGGATTCAACAATGAGGCGGCATATGCTAGAACTGGCCTCATCTAAATTTCTTATTAGGTTCCTAAAGCATGTTCCGACTTTTGCCAGTGTAGAGTATGCTGCTGGTGTTATCCTATTTATATGATCCTCTCAACGTGTTAATAGACAGGTAAGACTGTGACAGGTCCACAAGCCAGTCAGATAAGACTGTGAACAGGTCCACAAGCCAGACAGATAAGACTGTGAACAGGTCCACAAGCCAGACAGCTAAGGCTGTGACAGGTCCACAAGCCAGACAGATAAGACTGTGAACAGGTCCACAAGCCAGACAGATAAGACTGTGAACAGGTCCACAAGCCAGACAGATAAGACTGTGAACAGGTCCACAAGCCAGACAGATAAGACTGTGAGCAGGTCCACAAGCCAGACAGTAGAGACTGTGAACAGGTCCACAAGCCCCATGACAACACAGGGGGTAATGTTGGGTTAATGAAACATCATCTTACAAAAATATTTATTACAAGAACGGAGTATCATACGTGACATTTATAAAAGGTCTAAAGTCTAATCCACCAGAGTCCCTCACCTCTTGCTTGTGGTTCCCCCCCCCCTGATCTTCTTCCTGCCTCACCCCCCCCCCTTCCTCTCCTCACTGTACTTCCAGAAGCACAGTACCTCACTACTATAACCCAAGCCTGAGGACAGGGCTCTGATAGGACCATTGTGTTCATCTTTGAAGGGAATAGAGAGGGGTGGTAGCGGTGAGCCTGCGAGCATCGGGAACACCAGCCGCGCGAAGCCCACTCAGCGATGGTTATAACCGGCCGGACACACACACAGGAGCGTTTGGGTCAATATAATAAGGTAATTTTTGAATCAACAGAGCGGCAAACAAATTACAAAATTAGTCACTTTCTTGGACATTAACATTGTCGTTCGTCTATTAACGAAAGAAACTTTTGTCGGTGTGCAACGCCCTTGTCATGCGCACAGTTCGCGATATTTGGTTCGTCTGTGCGCAGGCGTGGGCGTGAATGAAGGCGTGGGCGAGGGAGCGCGGGATTCCGGAAGGACACCGGGAATCACCAACAGTTGAATGTATCCACAAATCGCGTCAAGAGTTGTATTAGTGTGTCGGCAGCACTCTCATGTAACTTCACCCGCTGCTCAAAGCACTACACCTCACTTGTCAAGACTGTAAACATCGGGTTAAGGTAAGATATTGCCTGCCGCCTCATCATCAAAATATTTTGTCATGTGAGCATGAAGAGCCCTGTATGAGAGGGCGCTCTGTTGCCATAATGTGCTGTGGGGTGCGCCGGGCAGGTTGACTGGTTGCCCCGCGGCCCTGTCAAGTCTTGAGTCGCGGAGGACAGTCACTCTAGGGTCGCGGAGGGCAGTTACTCTAGGGTCGCGGAGGCCAGTCACTCTGCGGGTCGCTGAAGTCAGTCACTCTGGGGTCGCGGAGGACAGTTACAAGAGGGGGTGAGAAGGCCAGTTATTAAGGTGATTATGGGGGTGGGGTCAGTCACAAAGCACCATGGATAAACGGTCCTGGGGGGACAGTAACAGGGGGGACGTGGGTGAGTCGGTCAAAATAGGGGGGAAAAGAATACATAGAGGGGGCATGGGGGGGGGGAAGGTCAAGTAGTTGTGTAAAACTTAACTATTACCTGAATGCTGATGAGGAAAAGTGTACATTTTTGTAATTAAAGTCTTTTGTAATATTTAGTTTAACGGAGCGAATTTTGTACTTAAACTTGCGTGAGATATAACTTTTGTGGCACCGTGACAGTTCAATTAGATTTTAGTATATTAAAAAAAATTGTTATAGCTTTCAGTGCTGAAATATTATGACAATATTTCAGGATAAACGGCCGGTTATCGTAGACTGATTAGGGATGGTTTATTGAAACAAAAGATAACGTCACACATGCCAACATAGCTGTAATGTAAACTTAACATAACGTTACTTGTAAACACGAGTGAATATCAACAGAGGAGGATACAGTCTACAGATCCTTCAAGTCGAGAATGATCTCACGTTATCTGGCTCTATCTGGCGAACAGATGAAGGTCGGCATTCACAGTTTGCATAGAGCAGATGAAGCGATGAGCGTGTTCCGGCCTGCGTGGAGTGACTACCAAGCAACTGGTCTGTGGTCCTGTGTGTTCCAGTAGCCTCCACCAGCCTGCAAAGAGTGAAACTCTTCCAGGAAACTGGTCTGTGGTCCTGTGTGTTCCAGTAGCCTCCACCAGCCTGCAAAGAGTGAAACTCTTCCAGGAAACTGGTCTGTGGTCCTGTGTGTTCCAGGAGCCTCCACCAGCCTGCAGAGAGTGAAACTCTTCCAGGCAACTGGTCTGTGGTCCTGTGTGTTCCAGTAGCCTCCACCAGCCTGCAGAGAGTGAAACTCTTCCAGGCAACTGGTCTGTGGTCCTGTGTGTTCCAGCAGCCTCCACCAGCCTGCAGAGAGTGAAACTCTTCCAGGCAACTGGTCTGTGGTCCTGTGTGTTCCAGCAGCCTCCACCAGCCTGCAGAGAGTGAAACTCTTCCAGGCAACTGGTCTGTGGTACAGTGTGTTCCAGCAGCCTCCACCAGCCTGCAGAGAGTGAAACTCTTCCAGGCAACTGTTGTACAGAGTCAGTGGTACAGAGAACACGTCACTCTTTACTAGCATATAACAGAATCCTCAACTATATTCCCCGCCATTACTGAACGTCAAATGGACAGTTGGATATAATGTTGGTACTTCGTATAGCTAAGGCGTGCACTATACATCTATTTATATATGTTTTTAGTTTTTTTTATATTTTATTACAAATTGTATAATGAAACTTATACATGCAGGTTTCATCACTTGTGTGGACTTCTTGTCTTGCTTGTTGAATTCATCTCTCAGGAGCTCTCTAATCATTGTAACTCATCCCCTTGTTTAGAGAGGCTCAAAATATTGAGTCTCAGGGGCTCACTATTTTGACCATACAGCAGCGATATGGATAATCGTACATACTTTGACGCAATGGACAACTAGATAGAATTTGGTACAATTGAATTTGGACCAATGGGAAAAGGTTTTGTATTTGTGGTGCTAATAAGACCTAACCTAACCATCCTAGGCCTAATATACGTTGAGGCCTAATATAGTACATATATGTGCTATACTAGGCCTAGGCATATTTAAGTTTGGTTATTAGCTTTATTTTTTCCAAAGTGAATAGTACCAAAATCGACTAATTGTCCATAACGTCACTGTGTACGAAGGTTATCTTGAGGTTATCTTGAGGTGCTTCCGGGGCTTAGCGTCCCCGCGGCCCGGTCGTCGACCAGGCCTCCTGTCCGCATAGTTACAAAATGGACTATCTAAACAGGAGGACGAGTTGCTATATTAATATAAAATAAATTCCAAAAAAATAACTTGGTTAAAACAAAATTGATAAATATTAAAATTTGATGTTATGATGCGGATTCAAAGAATCGTCTCAAAGGAATATCGAGTAACCATTCAAAACCGTTTTCAACCAAAGTGAAACGGAGGTCAAAACTTGGTAGAACAAACGTCTTTTTAGCACGTCAACAGACCGTTGGGTGGGTCATCTTATTTGCGTTTGTTATCCCAATAACTGTTGTCCGTATCATGCATATTAATACAAGAGTTTGCGGTCCCGCGAGCGCGCCACACACTCGCGGACGCATGTAGTGGAGACAAGATGGGGGGAAAAAAAGAAAAAAACAAAATACGAGACGCAGAACATGCAATATGAGACGAATACACTAATACACTAGTAATACACCAGTAATACACTAGTAATACACTAGTAATACACTAGTAATACACCAGTAATACACCAGTAATACACTAGTAATACACCAGTAATACACCAGTAATACACCAGTAATACACCAGTAATACACTAGTAATACACTAGTAATACACTAGTAATACACCAGTAATACACTAGTAATACACTAGTAATACACTAGTGAATGATGAGAGGTACACAGGCTGACTGACTGGGGCCAGATTCACGAAAGCAGTTACGCAAGCACTTACGAACGTGTACATCTTTCCTCAATCTTTGACGGCTTTGGTTACATTTATTAAACAGTTTACAAGCATGAAAACTTGCCAATCAGCTGTTG